ATGAGCCACTTAAGAATGATAAGCCACAAAGAATGAAAGAAAGGAATGTCAAAGATAAAGGTACAAAGAATGAAGGGATGGACAAAGGGTAAGAGACTATAGAATGATACAAAGAATGAAGGGGTGGTCAAAGGAATGGAATGATGAAGTAAGGAAGGGTAGTAGTAAGAGTCAGCATGCATATAGTTCATAGACAGTGCCCCTGAGGGACAGAAGTCCTGAGTTCCAGTACAGAAGAGTGTGGAACCCTTAGAACTGAAGGTACAAGAGTAGAGAACTGTAACACACTCTATATACTCTACTCTTGTCTCACTCTCTCTCTCTCTCCTGTTCTACAAGTTCCAACTATGTTCCAGTGCTCACATTCTGTATTTCTGTTGTGTAGGATAGTTGTAGCCTGGGTCCCCTCACTGAGCCTTCAGGTCCCCTCTACACTGTTACTGACAGGTAGAGTGTGATTGATTTGTTAATATCCTCTAACTGCCTCTCTTTCTTGAATTGTTTATAAAAGCCAAATGCAAGGTTGTTTAAGGTTGTCTGACAAGTAGGATCACTTTTAGTATGATGAACTAGACAAGTACAATTAGCTGAGATTGCCTCCTCAATGTCTTGAACTTGATCAGTGATTTTGGAGAGTTTGTTGAGACAGTAACCTGCATATCTTAGTAACCAATCATGATCAGAGAGGTCCACAAGGCAGAGAGTTAAAGTAGCACAAAGGTATACAGTAGCCTGCCTCACATCCTCACCCTGCATATATAATTTAAATCAAGACATAAGATAGAGTGTAATACACTCTAGCAAATCAACACAATCAGGACTTTGTTCAGGAGAGAGAGACAGTACAGAGTGGAGGAGTTCAATTGACTCTTCCAGTTCCTCCACCCTACTTGTCACTCTGAAGTGATTATACAGTGCTTTTGCAAGGCTGAGAAGTGAACCAGCTTGATAGGGATGATCAGGCAGAAATACTACTAGTTTGCTATAAAGATTTCGAATGGAATTGTTCAAGTAATCCAGCTGTTGTGTCTTTCCCTCTTTCTCATGGTCTAATGAGATTGCAACCTTAGTACTAGTGACCACCTGACAAAAATAAGGCTCAATAAGCATTTTGAAGCATTGTAGTGCTGAGACTTCTTAAATGACTTATCATATACATACTTCTATACCTTCCGTTTCAGAGATTACCTCTGTATCAACTGGGACAGCTTCACAGCCTTCATTTATGTCTGTGAATTGGCACTATAGTTGGGTTACATTTAGCTCCAGAAGTAAATGAATCAACCGTTTAATGAAAAAAGATACGAACACGTTTACACATTGATTTCCTTTGGCCGGACCTTGTTGAACGGCATGCTTGCAAGCTCTCTGCAAACTAATTGTGCTGAGTCAAGACAGGCGTTAGTCGAAATAAATATGAATCACTTCGACTGTGTACCTTACTATTCATAATCACAACATTGCCTACTCGAGTTGCTTTCAGCATCCAAACAATTACTTGCAAACCCGGCCTGTCGGAGGGGTCTTTTGACCAACACGAATTGCATAGCTCCCAGGCTGATTGATTGCTCAGCGGCCAGGTGTGAAAGTCCTCTGGAGTCTTTGGAAGGCATCCATTGCAGATCGCTGAAATCACCTGGAGATCATTAGCCAGCTCGTGATATGGTCTTTTCTTCGTCAAAAGTTCCTATTAAGGAACAGACCATCAGAACTGTTAGTTACCTCGCAAGCGATGAATCTAGGAAGCGTACATATCCCGTCATACCGAGCGCCCATATGTCAGATTCCATCGTGCTGATCCTTTCACACCTCCAGACGTGCTTTGCGTGTCTATGTTATATCCGCTACACGAAGTAGAGTGACATTACGCGCGAGACCCCGAAATCACAAACAAGGGGTCTACCTCCCTGCGAGATGAGTACGTTGTCCTTGAAGGTAAATGTGAGCTACAGCATTTCTCCACGAGGCAGATAGGGAACGGACTGATTTTATATCCGAATGCACAATGCCCTTGGTATGAAGATACTGTACTCCTTCGGCAATACCAAGAATCTTGATTGAAACATGCCAACTGATCAACGTCTCTCCGTAGAGTGATGGTTTGGATCGCGTACCAATCTGGGGACGTCAACCGCTGGATTCCGCATGACATACTGCAACGCAGTCCCGTGCTCCATTGTAACGATTGCGCTACCTGCGCATTTGCGCGACATGTGTTGTAGGTGCTTGTGGGTGTTTTCCTTTTTGTTCACTAGACTACCCTGTATCCTACTACACGTGTATACACATATATAAAGGGTTTTCGAGCTAAGGGTTAGGGGATTCTTTCTCCTTCTTGGCGCTCGATTACTAGGTTATCCCAGTCAGTAGTTGAGTGCGCTGGTAAAGAGAGAATCTTCGCATAAGGCTAGTATACCTATCCTTACACATTTTTGACTGAACCCACCTTTCCATAAACCTGCTGGGCTTTGACAACCGGAACTGAGGGCTTGATCACCCCAATACATTCCTCACATTGCCCAGTACTCCTTCGAATTCAAAGAAATCAGTGAGTAGTTTGCAAATCTAAATTAGAGACACATATACTCTCACTATAGCTACTAAGATACTCAGAATGCTTGAGGGATGCAAACAGATTGTTCCCCTCAATGCAGAGAGACCTCCTTGTTGATATTGTAAGAGGCAAGCATTATTCAGAAGTGCTGAAGAGCAGCTTTCCCTAAATGTGGAGAGATTCGAAACAGTGTGCACTACAGATTTCGAATTAACAGAGCATGCAGACAATGGACAACAAGATTATCTGTTGAGTACTGAACACAATGTGGCCACTGAGCCTCAGCAGACAATCCTGGAAGGGCCCCCAAGTCTGGAAGTCACTATTAACATGCTAGAGAATAAGTCCTTATCTGTTACAGGCTGGAGGCAATCTGATGACCCTTTGCCAGGTGATAAGTCCTTGTCTACACTAGGCTGGAGGCACCCTGATGAACTATTACATACAAGTAATGTAGAACAAAGGCATGTACCTGTACCAGTACATATTGTTAGACCAATGCACACTGTAGAGCAGACACCAGCAAGTGCTTACCTTACTAGGCTCACAGAAGTAGATAATAGTGGTACAGAGAGTGTAAACACTCAGGAAACTGGCATTAAGGATTCTGTCAGTAAGAACAAGGGTATCAGTAAAGGAACAACACTTTCCTTACAGTAGGAAACGTTCCAGAAGGCCAGAAAGACATTCAGAAACGTCCCTAGGCCAGAGACACTGAAAGCCATGAGTAGGCTAGCCAGTCTATTCAATCAAGGAATTGATATTGAGGAATTGAACAAGAGAACTCATAAGTACAATAGTATGTATCAGGAACATGAAGGAAACATCAATTTGGACACAATCAACCTATCTAAACTAACTGGAGACAAGTTAGCTAAATGGATGTATCAGAAAGTACATTGTTGACACTCAGAAGCTACTAAGGGAATGTCCAAACAATTGGAAGATGCTCTACTGTTTGAAAGCACACATCCTTGGAAGAAAGATCCAGGTAAACCTGTACCTAGTAATAAGAAAAGTGCAAGAGCAAATAAAGGAAAAGCTCCAGACATTTGTAATTACAGTCAGGTAGAACTAGACAGGTCCAGTAAAGCAGATTCCAATGTACAAAGAATGTATTTTCAGGAGATAGAGTACAGACGAAATGTGGAATCAGGACAATAGAATTTCAGAAATGAAGGCTACAGCAAGGCTCCCAGAACTCCTCAGGAATTACTAGTTTGTTTCAAACAAGAAACATATTGCCCTAAGATAGGAAATCAAGGCAAGGACACATACTACAGATACAACACCCTAGCAGGGCAAGGAGATACATTGTAGAATAAAATACCTGCATATATGCACCATCATACTAATGTTCAAGGATCAACACATACACCCAGTGCAAAACACAATATTAAAATGAACAGACTGAACCCAGACATGATATGTATGGTTCCAGATGCCTCTGATGACAGTGAAGACAAATCAGAAACTGCAAAAGGCAAAGAGAGCAAGGAAAAGAATTTCCACCACAGTTCTGTACCCCCTATCAAGCACAGTACAGATAGGAATAGTAAAGGCTACAGAAAAAGAACCACACAAGATACTGCTGAGCCACAAAGCTTGAATACACTGCAGACAAATAGATTCACATCAGTGAGACCCTCAGACAACCTTGCAAGAAAGAGTTATGTGAATTGTGCAATACAGAGAGCAGAAATTGTAAAAAGGCAGGATCCTGACTCAGATCCAGGCAATAGCTCTTCAGATTCTTTGGATTTGAGCAGATACTCAAGTTCTGATGATGGCAATGATAGCAATACATTATTCGAACCTACAGACATTGATTCAAGTGACTCTGAAGGTACTAAGAAGTGTAAAAAGCTTGCTAAGAGGAAATGGAACAAGGAACTTCTGAAATTGAAGATACAGATGTAGAGTGCAAAACCTATCGTTCCTACAGTTTATTCAGGTGAACCTAACCTTCAAAGATACACCAAGTTC